CTCGGGGCCGGGCCCAGCGCCGATCGGCGACGAGACCGTGTCCGTGTCTGTGTCCTCTGCAGCGCGGCGCACACGTCCCCTGGGAGTCGACCACCGGGCCCCGACACCGCGGCCTCGCCGACTCTTCCGGACGCCTGTCTCTGCCCGGCGCGCCGGCGGAAGAGACGAGAAGCCCCTTGTTTGGTCGCAGCAGGTTCCTAAAGAACGAGAAGAGCATGGACGGGATCCAGCGGGGCCGCGCGCAGGCAGGTGGGAACGGCCCCGCCGCACGCCCGGCCCAGGGGACCCCGCTGGCACAGCCGGCGCGCACACGGAGCAAGATCGCAGCCCGAGGGTTGCAGATGCGTTCGTCCAGCACTCACCTGGCTCCACACGTGTCCGATGAGTCCTTCTCAGCCAGGCCCAGCCACGACCCGAATGCAGGAGGCAGCAGGTATCTCAAGAAAAGCTCTGCACCTGGTGAAGGAGTGACGCTACCTAACAGCTGGTCCAAGGGGAGAGAAAGCACCCGGCCCATCGAACAGAAAGCACCACTTAAAGCCCGGTTTGATTTGGACAGCGACGAGGAGGAGATGAGAGCGTTATTGGGGAGTTCTTTGGCGTTTTCCAGTGACAACGAGGATCGGAAAGATAGCACCCGTAATGCTAAACAGTGTGAAAAGGTAACAAACAAGCTTCGTTTGACTAGATATTTACCTTTTATGAAATGACATTTTGAAGTGCCAGACGCGATAACTAGTTAACAGTAGGAAAAACCAGTATTTTTAAAGTGGACATGTAACCCAGTGTTATGAGGTGAGAGGTCATGTCAGTCTACATGTGGCTTGCTCTAAATTACACTCTTCCTGTCTGGTTATTTAGTATTACCATTATCATGTACCGCTGGCTCTAGTGCCTAAAGCTTGAAAGTAGGGTAGGTAATTACTAACTGTCTCTTCCAAGTCCTTCTTAAAGACTAAACTCAAGACTCCCCCTGGAACACCTCTTCTACCTCATAGACCGTCTTCACGGACAAATGTATTTCGCGCACCTTCTCCCTGTACCGAAAGTTCTCCGGAACGGAATCATCATGGAGCTCGCCCCCAGGTTCCCTCCTCATCTGGCAGAAACCCACCCAGACCAAAACAGATATCCCTGTCTGAGAGTTGCGAAATAAAGTCTTTGGATGAATTGTTTTCAAGAGCAGGCAGCACACAAAATTCAATCAGTGAAAGCTCTGATGGTGAGTATTTTGAAGTTTACTTTTAAGTGACGTTTTGTGTTTAGAATACAGTGGATAGTACATACAGATACTAAACTAGGGTGAACACCCTTATTTCCATACTTCTCACATCAAGACTTCCATAAACAAATCATATAGCTGCCTAGATCCTGCTCAAAAGGATTGAGATTTGCTTCAACTATACTGCATCATATTTTTCTTCAGTTTTTGTTAAGCATAGGAATTTTCTTTGCTTGGCCAATTTGATGGTATTTTGATCAATTCCAAAATTTCAGGGAACATTCTTTGATCAATGGACAGAACCTTAATAGAGCTCAATGAAATTATGAAAAACAGAAATGGGAAACACAGAGCTACTTGGCTGTGGCTAGCAGAACTGGCAGATTCTTTCTATCTCCTCCAACTGTTACAGGCCAAGAGAGCCATTTGGTGGCATGCTTTCACATCTTTTGTCACAGCTTTGCCCACCCTCCCAAAGTGTTGATCCTGTGAGCAAAGATAAGTGTGGTGTAGGGGAAGAAAACTTTAGTGCAACTTTTCTGCTTTGATCATTTGTCATTCTGTTACAGACTTCAGAGTGAATATTTTAAGCCTTGATGAGTTGGCACCAAGTATTTTAAGCAAGAGAGAAGACTTGCAACAAAAGGTCAGCAATAAATCCTTCACATTACACAGGAGTGATTTATTTCATTTTATTAGACAATAGAGATGCTCTGAAAACAACAGCTTCCATTTCATTAATAATCCGTGTAGCAAGAAGAGCTTCCACAGAACACAGACTGACCAAATGTGTACTGTCTGAGGCCACAGTCACAGAGTTTCATTGGTTTCCTTTAATAAGACGTATAAATGGCTACAATTAATCTTTTTGGTTGGTTGCATTTCAAAGAGGGTTTACTTATTTCATACTAAAAGTGTAAGTCTGGCCAATAGAAGCAGCAACCAAGCAATTTAATGAATTCATCTTTCCAAGTGGTATTGCTATGATCCTTCTCCCTGTGTTTGTTTTTTTTCCCCAACAGAAGACAGACGTTACAAAGATTAAAAGATCAGACGAGGAAAAAGGAATAACTGTGTTTCAGGCAAATAGTGATCAACCTCCCCTTGAAGTGAGGAGTGCAGGACTGCGTACAAATATTGAT